CAGAACTGTGGTTTTTAACTGGATTTCTCACACCCACTTGGATTAAACTTGACACACTGATGTAGTGCTGCAGGTGTTACACCATCCCTGTTGCCCGTAGCTGGGATGAACCTCAGCCCACCCCAGGAGGGTGGGTCAGGGGTGGGGGCTGCTGCTGCCCTTTGCTGTATACTGGAGCAACTTTTGCTGGATGCAGGGGTGGCTGAACCTGTGCCTTGGTGCCAGCACTGATCCCAAGGCAGCAAAAGGAGGATGGGAGCAAACAGTCCCAGCCACAGTCAGTGGGCTGCTATGCATCTCTGCACCCCATTCACACACTTTCCAGTCTCATCTCTGGCAAGCAAAAGGACTGGTTCAGGTTTACCCAGGCACAAAAAAGCTCAAATGCATCAGCACAAGCCCCCAGCACACGCCTGGGACAGCTGCCCCTCCAACTGGGCAGTGCACTGCTATCCCCAGCCCACTGCAGAGAGTTTCCTGAAGCACTCGAGCTCTTTTCACATTTATTGCTGAATGTTTTTTTGTTTCGTTTTGTTTTAATGACATTGGCAAACTGTCCAGAAAGCACTCAAAAGCCAGGCAGGCTGCAGGCCGACCACCCAGCAACGCCGATGCCACCCCACACTGCAGCCTCAGTCCAATGCAGGGTTGGTGGTTTTCTGTTCTGTTGTTTTTTTCTTCTCAAAAGGGATTTCATTAGAAGGAAAATGAATCTGGTCCCAGGAACCCCAGCCCCAGGGCTGGCAGGGGAGGGTATACACAGGCAGCCACCCCTTCCAGCCAGGGACAGTAGTTTCCCAGAAGCCCCAGAGCAAGGCAGGAGACAGGCAGAGAAAACATCTCCCACCCCAGCACATGGCTATTTACAGGAACCAGTGAGACATGACTCTGTCCCCACAGGTGATGGAATGGGAAGAAAACCTATGTACATAGGGAGGGGATGTGGCCAGAGCAGTGCAGGGAGCACCAGCACTCGCCCCAGGCAGCTCCACGGGGCGTGACCATTGGAGATTGTCAGCATGGAGGGGTCCTGTCTCTTCCCTCAGAACTATGATAACACTGTTGGGCCCTTCCTGGTCCCCTCCCACCGCAGCAGCCAGGGCTCCCCCAGCACCACGATCCCACCCAGCTGCTACGGTTCTGCAGGAAGGGGAGAAGGCGATGGACCCTCACTCAGCACTGCCGACGGGTCTCTGGGCACCCAGAGCAGAGGGGGACAGACAGACAGGGAGTAAGGCATGGTGCCAGCCCAGCACGAGCAGCCTGCAGCTGGGGAGAGCCCACGGGGGGTGGGGGGAAGGGGAGCAGCAGCATCACCCCTCGGCCATCAGTAATCTTCCACCCAGCCGTTCTCCGAGATGAAGGCGTCGATCACCTCCTTCATGGCGAGGTTGGGGATGAGCTGGTCCTGGGTCAGGGGACTCCGCGTCACGGGATCGAAATGACCCACGCGCTGCAAGGGAGGTGGCCAGGAACCGGTTACACTGCGTGCCTGGCCCCAGGCCAGCAGCACGGGGGGGAGGGGAGGGGGTGGGGCGCAGCATCTGAGCCCAAAACTCCCGGTTGCTGCCAGGGGAGGAGGCAGCGGCTCAGGAAAGCCCACATCTCTGCAGTACCTGGAGGTGTTCCTCTATGTCCTTTCTGTCGTACGTGATCCCGCTGGGTGTGATGCAGGGCTCTCTCATCAGCTCGAAACTGATCTTCCCGCATAGGTAGTCAGGGATGTCGCGCTTCTGGCTCGAGTGAAGCAGAGCTGGGTTAGGTTTGCAGCAGCAAAAACAACAAAGGGCTGAGGGGTGGTGGTGAGGATGCAGCCGTGCAGCCCATCAGCTCAGACAGAGGAAGATTTTTAAGTCCACATTGGCAGCAGGGACTAAAGAGGGTCACAGCAAGCAGTGCTGGCTAGGGAGAGCAGGGAGCATGTGCAGGGGTACACTCACCTTCCTCTTCTCATCCACCTGAGAGAAGAGTTCATCCATGTCTGCCAGGTACTTGTCCTGGAAAAGGAACCTTTATTGAGTGGGGACACAGCTCCATGTCAACAAACTGCAGGCAGGGAGCAAGCCCACACCTTTGTGGCTGCTCTGAGCACTTATTGCCCACAGAAGGGACCAATCCCACAGCATGGGCAGGGATCCGGCCACAGGTTCAGAGCCAGATTCTTTGTTTCACAGCCCCTGGTTCCCACCCCTCCAGGCCGAACTGCGTGGCAAAAATGATCCAGCTTAAAAATAACCGTCCTTTGCAGGGCTATTTTTATCCCAGGATTAGTCCCCTGCTCCAGGACACCACGCAGACCTACAGGCAGCCACGAGCTGCTCCCATTGCACAGCTGTCGAGGAATCACGGGCATGCAGCTGGCAGGGCACAAGCAGCAGCACCGCTGCCTGGCTGGGACAGGAGGGTGACAGCACAGGGGACAGGAGAACGCACAAGGGGGATGAAAATCCTGTGACAGGAGCTCGTGTGGAGCCAAGGAGAGGAGGGAGCAGCACCAGGGAGGCTTTGGGGAGCCCTGCTTCCCTCCTGCCTGCTGTGCCCACACACAGCCACTCACGTGTTTGGCCTCAATGCCGGCCAGCTGAACACGGCCCCGGCTCTCATCCACGTTTTCTTCTTGCTGAGCTTTCCGGCACTCAGCCAGCTCCCTGTGACAGAGGCATTGGTGAAAGCATGGAGCAGCAGCAGCAACAAGACTGCTGCTGACCCAGCCCCAGGATTCTGCACACTGCAGGCATAGGGGTGCTGCACTCAGAGCCTCGTGGCACACTGAGATCCTCCCAGCAGCTCGCTCCTTCTCCCACCTCCTGTCTCACACACATCACCCCCACCTTGGGGCTCAGGAAGTCAAGTGGAACAAGGGCTGCCATTACCTTTCCTTCTCGGCCATGATTAGCCTGGTCAAGTAAGAGTGCAGCTCGTTCTCTTGGTTGATCCTCTTCTCCTCAATGCTGTTCCAGCGCTTCTTCTTGGCGATGCGCAGCGCGCTGGGGATGTCATCCCCAAAATTCAGCCGCTGCTCCTTGGCGAGGTTATAGGCTGCAGTGGAAGGGGGGGGAACAAAGCAGATGTGAGTCCTGCCACACCATGGGGACAGCCCTCTCCTGGCCGCCGCTCACCTCTCTGCAGGTTGGCGATGGCCTCGTCGTAGTTCTCCATCTCCATCTGGCACTGCCCCAGGAAGAAGTGAGCCTTGACCGACTGCCCATCCAGCTCCAGGGCCCGCTTGCAGTCAGCCAGCGCCTTGTCGTGCTGCTGCATCTTCAGGTAGCACAGCGCCCGGTTGGTGTAATACACAGCCACCAAAGGGTTCCGGTTCTGCGGGGCAACCACGCGTCACCTCCCTGCCCACGGGGATGCCATGGGGAGCAGGACAAAGCGACGGGCGTGAGACAACAGGGTGCTGTCACCCAACCTTGGAATGCCAGCTCAGCAGGGAGGGGACAAGTTAGGAGCTGCAGCTCCATAGGGAGGTGTGGGGGGTAACCTGGCCCCACAGCCTTACAGCTACCGGTGGAGACAGGGCTGTGGGCAGGAGACAACAGGGATAACTACACGGCCCTGAGAACAGGGACCTCCGGGAGGGGACACCGGGAGGGGCAGACAGATAGAGCCTTGAGCAGGGGGATGCCAGGGGGTGAGGGGACAGGGCCTTGGGCAAGGGAACATCAGATAACAACAGGGCCCCGGACAGAGGGACACCGGGGGGAAGGGGAACGATGACAGGGTCTTGGGCAGGGGGGCACCGGGGCGGGGGGCACAGGGCCCTGGATAGGTGGGCATCGTTGGGAAGGACAGGGCCCGGGATAGGGGGGCACCGGGACGTCGGGACAAGGGAGGACCGGGTGGTGGGAGGAGGCGGGGAGGATCGGACCCGGGAGACACTCACGATAGCGCGGCCATAGGCGGCAGCGGCCTCGGGGTACTTGCGGCCGCCGAAGAGCCGGTTGCCCTGCTCCTTGTGCTCCTGCGCGCTGTGGCTCTTCTCGGGGCTGCCTCCCCCCGCTCCCGGCCCCGCGGCCCCCGGCCCGGCCGCACCGCCGCCGCCGCCCTCCCGTTCCCGTTCCTCTTTCCCCTTCATGGCCCGGCCCGACCCGGCCTTTCGGGGCCGGCGGCTCCGCTGCCTCCGGCCGCGCACTGCGACAGCGCCGCCCCGCCCCTCCACTTCCGGGGCGTGGAGTCAACAGGGGGGCGTGGCCTTGGTGGACTTTTGTGGGCGTGGTTAGAGCAGAGGGCGTTATTTGTTTGTGGTCGTGGCCTGCGAAGGGCGTTGTTCCTCTTGGTGGGCGTGGTCTGCGCGTTGTGGGCGGGGAAAGGGGCGGGGCTTGGTCTGGGTGCCCGCCGGCGCGCTGCCCCCCTCCCGCCCCCGTTTTCCGCCCCAGTAACCCATCCCCGGGTTCCCTCTTTCTCGCATGAGCGCTGCCCTAATTAACTCAGCGGGCAATCCTTAATTAACCCCAAATTAATAACCCTCACCCACAAAGCACCCCCCAGGGAGGGGCCGTGTGCAAAATATTTATTTCTACTCCAAAAAAAGGGAGGGGTGGGCGGGCAGTTCCCCCACCCCCACCCCATAACAGCTTTTTAGGGGGCACCGACAGCAGCGCGGGGCCGGGGGGGGGCGCCGGGGGGGTTCTCTTCCCCCTCCCACTCCCACCCCCCCCCTGCGGACGGTTCTTTTGGCATAGAAAAATAAATGGCTCCGCGTTGGGCCCCGCTATTCCCGGGATGGGGGGGGAGGAGAGGGGACACAGATTTTCGGGGAGCCCGGGAAGGGGCTGCGGGGGCCATTCCCAGGGTGGGGCTCTGTGCTGACGGGGCTGAAGCATCCTTCACAAGGGGGGGGGGGGCACGGAGGGGCCCAGCGCGGTCGCTAGCACCGAGGGGGCAACGCGTCCCCATGTGCCGCGCGGGGACCCCCCCCCCCCCCTCTGCCGGGCCTTTGGCCATCGCTAGAAAAAGGGCATCTATAGGGACGACAAAGGGGGCGGGGGTTGTCCTTAGGGCGGGGGGGGGATTTGTGCCCCCAGGAGGTCGTAGGCGAAGATGTTCCAGAAGACGGCGAAAAGCAGGAAGGTGCCGTAAGAGAGCAGCACCACCCACCAGCCGCACTGGTCCCGCAGGCTCTCCTCGTAGCTGCGCAGGATGGTCAGCCCCATGCTGATGCCCACGATAGCCCCCGCCAGGTGTGCCATGAAGCTGGGCTGCGGACCCGAGGCTGGCAGCGGAGGCGAGAAGCGGAGCCACACGGCGCGTCCCACCTCCGAGCTCACTGCGGGACAGCGGCCGTGGCATCGGAATCCTCACCCGAGCTGCTGACCCCAACCCCGTCCCCGCTGTCCCCGTACTCACTGCACACCAGCGCCAGCACCATGCGCAGCAGTTTGTAGGGGCAACGCATCCCGGCCCAGTTCTGAGGGCGGACGGATGGGTGGGTGGGCACGGGGCACCGCACGGAGCTGAGCCCCGTCCCCACGGTGTGCCCGGCCCTGCCTGCCAGCCGCGCTAACCCAAGGTGCCGCCCTCCAGTGGCACAACCCCTTGATGCCCAAACCGTGTTCTCGCCCCGATGGTCTTAACCCCGTGATGCCTATGCCATGAAGACCACCCTACAGACTCACCCCAGGTGCCCACCCCATGGTATTCAGTCCACAATCTCATCCCATGATGCCCAAACCCATGGTGACCACCCTACCGTCTCGCACCGTGATGCCCACACTGCGATGTAACAGCACAGTCTCACACCACGGTGCCCAGTCCACGATGCCCACCCTACAGTTTCATCCCACGGAACCAACCAACCATATCATGTCAACCCCACGGTGCTGTCCCACAGATTCACCCCACGACACTCACCCCGTGATCTCACACAACGATGTCTACTCCATGCTGCCCACCCCATGCTATCCACCCTGCACTCTCACTCCACGGTGCCCACCCAGTGACACCCACCTCATTATGCCCACCCCACAATCTTACTCCAGGATGCACAACTCACAAAACCCATCCCACGACCTCACCCCATGACACCCACCCCCTGCTGCCCACCCGGGGATGCCCTCCTCACGATGCCCACCCCCAAACCTCACCCCTTGCTGCCCACCCCCCGAGGTGCCCCCGCTGCTGACCATGACGACGTTGGCGAGATGCGCCGAGCAGAGTGCATACACCCCACCTGAGCCTCCGACCAGAGGTGCCCGCATGTCCGTGATGGAGACAGTGAGGGACCCTGCCACACGTTCCCCATTAATCAGGGACGGAGGGACAGCAGGGAGACGGGGATGGGGACAGGCATGTGCCCACCTGCAAGGACACCGGCCAGGTAGAGGAAGCTGATGCGCAGGATGCCGTGCACCATCTCCAGGGGCACCCCGATCATCAGCTGCAGGAGGGCATTGAACCCTAGCTGCTCCAGCCTGCAGGGGACACCACGGGACACCGTAAGGTGACGTGTGAGATGGGCCGGGCTGTAGGAATCCCGCTGAGAGCAGGGACTCACCCCACGTGCATGAACATGTAGGTGAGGAAGCGCCAGGCGCGGGCGCGGTGCCCAGGGTGGTAGACCAGGGGGCTCTTCATATACTCGGGGTGATAGGTTTGCAGCACCCACTTGTTTAGCC